AACAATTTCTTTTGAAAAAAAATAAAAAAAAAATCATTGAATCTCTTTATTTGGAAACAAAATTTTGTGTCTCTCGAGACAGTTTCTTTGAGAAAAATCTTCGAGTTTGTTTATTTGGAAAACAAAATTTACCATCTTTGAATTTGTTTCCCTTGAAACAAAACAAACATCTTGAGATCAATTCCCTTTAAACGAATTTTGTCTCATTGAGACAGTTTCCCTTTAAACGTCGTCTTTGAGTCGTTTCCCTTAAAACAAATTTTGTCTCTTTTGAGACAGTTGCTTTTAAAAATATCATCTTTGAGTTTATTTGAAACAAATCTTTAATTTGGTTTCTCTAGAAACCATAACTCCTAAAGATGGCCAGTCGTCCTCATCATGTAGGAACCGTGTCATCCCCAGACCAGATCTCTTCATCACGTATGAGCCGTGTCAACCATAGATAACCAGCCGTCCTCATCACGTAGGAACCGTGTTATCACCTTTAGATGGCCAGAACTCTTCATCACGTATGAGCCGTGTCATTCCCCGACCAGATCTCTTCATCACGTATGAGCCGTGTCACCCTAGATAACCAGCTGTCCTCATCACGTAGGAACCGTGTTATCACCCTTCCTAAAGATGGCCAGAACTCTTCATCACGTACGAGCCATGTCATCCACCAACCAGTCATCCTCATCACGTAGGAACCGAGTTATCATCCACCCTTAGACGACCATACCTCTTCATCACGTATGAGCAGTGTCGTCCCCACCAACACGCATATCCAATTTATAGGAAAAGGAAGAAGAACCAGACAAAAACGTGTTGTATCGTCGTCTTTGCCCTATTCTTGTTAACACAAGAATGTGCAAAGAGGGGCAGCTGTAGACACCCGTTTTTGTCCGGGTCTTTATTATTTATTATTATTATTATTATTTATTATTATTATTTTTATATTTATATTATTATTTTATTAATATTATATTTTTACATATTTTGGCAGGCCAAAGCCTATTACAACCGGCCCAAACAATTGACCCAACAGCTAGGGTTTCATCTCAATGTTCCAGCCGCCTCATTTCTGGCCATTGGATCTGGACCCATCCAACGGTCCAAATCACGCAGTAATTAGGGTTTTAAACCCTAAACCTATCATCATCCAGCCGCCGCCGCCAGCAGCAAAGGAACAGCCGCGCCGCCGTCACTGTTCCGGCCCGTCTCGCTCCACTCCGACTGCTCCCACCTGCACCAACAGTAACCCCATCAGTTCCAAATCAAACCAATCAAAGGAAATAGTAAACAAATCAAAACCCTAAAATTAAAAATACCTAAATCCCAATAAATCGGGAAATTGGTCCCTACCAAGATCAGAGACCCTTACCCCTACGCTAGCATCATCATCATCTCACCAAACGAAGCAAAATCAACCATAAATCAAGCAAAGATATCAGATGACAGGGGAGGAGATAGGGAAGAAAAAAAATGATATTCGAAAAAAGAAAATAACATAGAGAGAAAGAAAAGGGGAAGTCTTACCCTTGTAGATCTATCCCTTATCAACCTCACCAGAGCTTGAAAAACCCTAAATCGAAGGTAAAACGTTCTTTTTTCTTGAATCTAGGTTTGGATTAAAAGGGGTTCTCGATTTTTTTTTGGTGGGGTGAAGGGTTGGGTTTTCAAGGAAATGAGGAAGAAAGAGGATTGAGGGTCTTTAGGGTCGGTTTGCTCCCCATGGCCACCGATACGGTGGCCGGGGAGCCTCTGTTTTGTTGTTGCGGCGAGGGAGAAGGGAGAGTAGAAAGGGAAAGGCAAAAGGAGGCTGAGAGAGGGTTTGAAAATGATTTAGGGTTCGGTTGGTAACCCTTAAATTGGGATTATATCCCAGCTTCAATACGGCGTCGTTTTAGGCCTAGGGAGGGAGACCAAGGTTTGGGTTTAAGGGTTAATGTCAACTTTGGTCCTCGTTATTTTGTAATCTCATATGCATTTTTTCCATTTTTGGGGTAAATTACAGTTTAAGTACCTTGAGCTTTGTAATGCTTGTAATATGATCCTTAATGAAATTTCATCTTTCTAGTTTGGTCTCTTTATTTATTTCGTGTTTCGTTTAATCCTATATGATTAGTATTACATTTCTAAGTGTTTAGATTTTGGTTGCTTATTTTGTATAGTGTTCGTTTTAGTCATCATTTACATGTTTTATGTAATTATTTGACTTTGAGCCTTTATCACACTATTATAAACTAGTCACTATTCATGATATTTTGTCTATATTTGATTCTGATATTTCAATGTATTTTATAATCTTTGTGTTATTCGAATTTGGCCACTACATTTGTAAATATTTTATTTTAGTCATTGTTTTAGTTTTTTTGTTTAATTATTTTTTAATTCTTCATGTTTCTGTGAAATTTCATTTTAGTCCTCTATATTATTTTTGGGTTATCTTCATTTTGATACATGTATTATTTAACATTTGTAATTCGGACTTTGGTTTTTTTTTTACTGTTTAGTCCCATTAGTTTCTATTTCTTTATTTTGGTCCCTAAATTTCTTTTTCTTCTGTTTTTTAACCTATTCGGTTTCTGTATTTGCTATGTACTCCCTTAAATTCTTGTATTTACTATTTTAGTACATCAAGTTTCTGTTTTTCTTCCTTTTGATCCTTGTAATTACAAATATTTACCTTTTGATAATCTTATCTTGGTTTATAATATTTTCTTTTTTATTTTAGTCATTTATGTATGATTTTATTGCACTTATTATTTGGTTATTTGTATTATGTAATAATGTTTTAATTTCATTTAATGTAAATATTTTATCTTGTATTTGCAATTACATTTGTTTATATTACGTTTTTATCCATGAATGATTTTTGATTTTATTTTCAAGTACGTATGCGTAGAATGAGCGTGGAAAGTACCACTTGATCGAAGTGGTGTGATCCGGTACGGCATTTTAACGACATAAAAATTTGAAATAAGTCGAGTATATTTTGCTAATTAATTTGTTCAAACGATGCAATGTGTGTTATTTTAAGTGACAATTTATTTTATTTTATGTGAATGTAAATTTCAAAATTTTTAATTTGTATTCAATTCACGTTTAGTTAATCAATTTACTCGTATGTAAACATCGTTTTTAGTTATATTTGATTCGCATTTTTTACATAATCAATGGTATAATATTCTTTTACAAATGAGAAATAGTTGAAATAGCTTTCCCGACGGAGGATTGCAAATTTCAAGATTTCTTATCGAGTTAAAGGATTTTCTTTAAATAGTTAACTCGAAGCAAATTAATTAAATTTCAATAAATGGATCGTAATTTAACTTTATATTCGATTTATAATTTCCACCATTTTACGACAACCTGTAAGCGACACAGTACCAATTTTGGGCGCTGTGGGGTGCTAATCCTTCCCCACGCGTAACCGACTCCCGAACCTGTTTAAATCGAATCTTTGGTAAATGCATACTAGTTTTCGTCTTAAAAAACGATTTTTCTTAAAATTATTTTAAAAAAGACATTTTTAGGTATTCGACCTACCTAACCCAAAGGTCGATGGCGACTCTATTCAATTTATTCCAAATTAATTCCAAATCACCAATTTTTCCAAAATTAAAGTCATAATCGTTTTAAAAATAATATTTAATTGTTTTTCTTTTGAAAAATGGTTATGACACTTCTGTTTTCGATTGGGTGGCCTTTAGTCTCTGCTTGGGGGCAGCGAGATGTATTTACATTTTTTATTAGGGTATACTACATTAAATGTTCTCTGAACTTTTATGATGCTTTTATTTTGGTCACCGAAATTTTAAAACATGCATTGATATAATTGAACTTTTCATTTGTTTTCATTTTGATCACTGTTGTCCGTTAACGGCAGCGGCTGTTTCATGCCAGCATGTCATGTTCCTTAATAACGGAAGTGGCCCAAATGAAAATGGATTAAAAGTTCAATGAATCCAATGTAAGTTTTAAAAGTTTGATTACAAAAATGCAATTTTCTTAAAGTTCAGGGATCATTCGTAGTTTACCCCATTTTATTATTCAATATGAAAGAGCTAGAACTTTCATGCCACGCTCGTGTAAACCCTTGTTTCTCCCTGTTAACTATATTTATGTAAAATTACATGCATATAAAGTATTTTTATATTCGTGAAAAGTCTTTATTCATATCTCCAAAAATAATTCATGAATTGATCAAGAATAATTGTGTAAAACTTAGAAATTTTACCAATGATTAGTGAAATAATTTATTTATTTGCATATGCTTGATGGTAAGTCATATGTTATGAATGCGAAAATGGTAGTTAAACGTTTGTAAGAAACGTTATATCTGTTATATGCCTAAAAGTGTTCTATTTCTTACCCTTATTTTAAAAATGGCTGTCCCTTTTTCCCATATGTATGGGGTAAGGGGGAGGTAAGATAGTAGGCTCTCCCAACACCAGGTTGAGAGTAGCTTCGTAAGAGACCTCCAAATTATGAAATGCCCTCCGTAAAACTCGATCCCACGACCTCAAGATTAAGAACCTTGTGCTCTTACCCTTATTTTAATTTTATTTTATTAATGCTAGGGCAACAAAATATCCCATTGCATTCTTTAATTAGTAGCCACTGAATTTATGGACCAAGCTAGTCAAAAGATAATATACTTTTCGTTGATATTTAATTTAATTAAGTAAAGTATCCTTGCCATATATACCATGGTTATACTTTATGTTTACCGAGTATAGTATAATATAATATAAACAAATGAAAGAAAAATCTTGGCCGTTAATTACAGAAAAATGTGAAGATATTGAGAAGGATGGGTCCCGAAATTTCTCGAAATAATGACACGTTGCCCAATGGACTCAAATCATCCTCGGTCACGTGCGTTCTTTGTGGGCCCATTGACATACGGAAATCCTCTTGAGCTGCACTGTAGTGGATGATCATTAACATTCACTAAAACGCAGCGTACGGGGAAGTTCAAAGGTTCAACGAGGTGCAAGTATGGTGCACCCCTCTCTTACCTTCGAAAAACAACATACAAAGCTCACGCCTCTCTTTTCCTTTCTATAAAGCACAGAGGAAAAGAAAAGAACCAGTGCCTGAAAGGTATAAATCCAGAGAATATCTAAGCAAAAAAGGAGAAAAAAGGTGAGAAGGAAGCAATGAAGCAGAGCATGCCTGAGGCAGTTTCCTCATCGTCGAGCTTTCCGGACCAATCACAACCCGCCACCTCAGCATCGGTATCCGATAACAACAACATCAATTGCAAACCCTTGGCATCGATATCGGCTGCGGATGACTTAGCTGGACTGGGGTTGAGAGACGGTAGCGGTGGGGCGCAGGAAGCCCTAACCTTCGATCGGCGAGGGGAATACTCGGCCGTTTGTAGATGGACGGTTCATAATTTCCCGAGAGTGAAAGCTAGGGCACTATGGAGTAAGTACTTCGAGGTAGGCGGTTATGATTGCCGTTTATTGGTTTACCCGAAAGGGGACTCCCAGGCTCTGCCGGGTTACATATCGGTTTATCTCCAAATCATGGATCCACGGGGTACGTCCTCGTCGAAATGGGACTGTTTCGCTAGCTACAGATTGGCCATCGTCAACCTAAATGATGATTCCAAGACCATTCATCGCGATTCGTGGCATCGGTTCTCTAGCAAGAAGAAATCTCACGGTTGGTGCGATTTCACTCCTTCTTCTACTGTTTTCGATTCCAAATTAGGTTACCTTTTCAACAACGATGCCGTTTTAATCACCGCCGATATCTTAATCTTGAATGAAACCGTTAATTTCACGCGTGATACTAACGATGTCCAGTCCTCATTGTCCTCTATGATATCGTCATCGGTTGTTTCTGGTCCTGTTTCCGATGTTTTGAGTGGTAAATTCACTTGGAAAGTGCGTAACTTTAGCTTGTTTAAAGAGATGATTAAGACACAGAAGATAATGAGCCCAGTATTCCCTGCCGGGGAGTGTAATCTGAGGATTAGTGTGTATCAAAGCTCGGTTAACGGTCAGGAGTATTTGTCTATGTGTTTGGAAAGTAAGGATACTGAGAAAACGGTTGCTTCTGATAGGAGCTGTTGGTGTTTGTTTAGAATGTCAGTGCTGAATCAGAAACCTGGGTCAAATCATATGCATAGGGACTCTTATGGGAGGTTTGCAGCTGACAATAAGAGTGGGGATAATACAAGTTTGGGGTGGAATGACTACATGAAAATGTCAGATTTTGTTGGGTTGAAGACAGGGTTTTTGGTGGATGATACTGCGGTATTTAGCACTTCGTTTCATGTGATCAAGGAGTTTAGTAGTTTCTCCAAGAATGGCGGGTTGATTGCTGGGAGGAGTGGGAGTGGTGCAAGGAAGTCTGATGGGCATATGGGGAAATTTACTTGGAGGATTGAGAATTTTACAAGGTTGAAGGATCTTCTGAAGAAGAGAAAGATAACAGGTCTTTGCATCAAGAGCAGAAGATTTCAGATTGGAAATTGGGATTGTCGTCTGATTGTTTATCCTCGAGGTATGTAAGAATCATTGCAATTCTTTAGTAATGAACTGGACTTCTGATCATTTTCTACAGACAAACTGAGCATGGTTTTTCAAGTTTAAGGAAGTTATATGCCATTCCATTTTGCCCTTTTTATCTTATTGGATTTAGTGTACGGTGGTTGCATGCTTATGGTAGTTGTCAGCCTACTGTTTTTTTTGGAATCCAATGTGTAATGAATTAGCTCGATCATCCATGTCTTTTGTCTCTAAATTCATACTAAGGATCTTGAAAATGGTTTTGGATATAATAGCACCTTGCTTGAGTCTCCTTTAGGGAAATGGTTACAGATTTTGGTAGCTGCCAATACTTGTAGGGCAGCTATTTGTCACTTTTATGCTCATATAATCTTGTAATGCAAAATCATTTGAAATTCTTATTTTGTTGTGCCTCTGTAGCAAAAACTATATTTCACCTTTGTAATCTGGTTAACAATCAGTCTTATGATTCTTGCATCCGAAGCAAAGGTAACTTGGTCTGATTGTCTCTAAATTGTATTTTGGAACTTGGAAGTGAACTGATTAAAATTTTCTTATGGGCTTGATTGTGATCAGGGCAGTCTCAGCCACCTTGCCACCTTTCTGTGTTTCTTGAGGTTACAGATTCACGAAATACTTCGACTGACTGGAGCTGTTTTGTGAGTCATCGGCTGTCAGTTATGAATCAAAAGGTGGAGGAGAAGTCAGTTACAAAAGAATCTCAGAACCGCTACTCTAAAGCTGCCAAAGACTGGGGTTGGCGTGAATTTGTGACACTTACTAGCCTCTTTGATCAGGATTCTGGATTTCTTTTTCAGGATACTGTTGTGTTTTCTGCTGAGGTTCTTATACTGAAAGAGACATCAATAATGCAGGATTTTACTGGTCAGGATACTGAATTAGCAAACACTGCTTCCCAGATAGGAAGTGTTGGAAAGAGAAGTGCATTCACTTGGAAGGTGGAGAACTTCTTATCTTTCAAGGAAATAATGGAAAATCGCAAAATTTTTAGTAAATTTTTTCAAGCTGGTGGATGTGAGCTTCGAATTGGTAGGTCACTTACTGTCAATTCTTCACTGAATATGTCCCTCTAACCGTTTCTGTTGATTAATTGACTGTTTCTCATTGATGCAGGTGTATATGAGTCCTTTGACACTATATGTATATACTTAGAGAGCGATCAGTCAGTTGGTAGTGATCCAGACAAAAACTTCTGGGTTAGATACAGAATGGCCATAATGAATCAAAAAAATTCGGCCAAGACTGTCTGGAAAGAATCTTCAATTTGTACAAAGACATGGAATAATTCTGTTTTGCAATTCATGAAGGTATCAGATTTGTTAGAAGCAGATGCAGGGTTCCTTGTGCGTGATGCCGTTGTTTTTGTTTGTGAAATATTGGATTGCTGCCCTTGGTTTGAGTTTTCAGACCTTGAGGTTAGTCACATTTGGATCTCTACCATTTATGTGTTGTTTACTATTCACATTAATAAGTTTTGTTTATTTTGGTTTTTCGGATTTAGATCTTAGTATTTTGGGCTTTCTGTTTATATGTAATCCATTTTTTTTATCACAGTACTTATGGTAGAGAAAGGAGATTTTTTTTTCAATTGCCCTATTAAAGTGTTTATAAATTGCCTTGAATGATCTATAAAATTGATCCTTACCCAAATATTGTCCCGATTCCACTGAACCTCTCTTACATGCAATGTTCGTTTTTGTTCCCATGCTTAATACTTCCATTGAACCTGGAAGGAACTAGTAAAAGCTATCATAAGCTTACCCATTATATTTTTTTTGATAGGAATAAAAGGCCTCAATAAAACCCCCTTGGTGATTAACGGAACTTAAAAGTAGTTCCTTAATCCACACAAGGAGGAAAGGAGTGCCCTAGGATTCATTAAACTCAAATATAGCAAAGTAATACAAATCAATCTCCCTCAAGAGATACAAAACCAGAAAGAAACAGCCCTTAACAGAGCATAAATCAACCAATACCCGCCTTAGCTAGGACATCCGCCTCTATATTGGCTGTCCTACTAACCCAACTAATAAAACCTTCAAAAACACTAAGCTTTTGAATAATGTCTTTAACTATTTGAACATAAACAACAGGACAAGAAACCACATCCTTAATCCAGCCAACAGCCACCTGACTATCACTCTCAATAATCAATCTATCTTTAACCCTATGACGAATAGATTCAAAAAAATCTAAACCCTTTAGGATAGCCTTCAATTCCATTAAAGTTGGGGGCCCCGGACCAGCAGGCTCTTTGAAGGAGCCAAGAATCGAACCAGACAAGTCTTTCAAAATACCACCTAAGCCACTCCTCTTCCAATCACTCGAGGTAGCCGCATCCACATTAAGTTTAACAAACCCTTTTAGAGGAGGGGACCAAGGAAACACGGTTGAAACCCGATTAGAATGGGACGAGTAGGAATCCACTATGGACGGGTCAGCAATAATATCATCCTTGGAAATAGTAACATTAGTTTCCTTAGCTAGAAACCATGAAGCAAGCCTGCACCTAGCTAGAAAGAAAATCTCTGCTCGATCAAGCTTCCCTCCTTCAAACACTATAAAATTCCTGGTCTTCCAAATTGTCCATAGAACAGCTCCAGGAATAAATGGCCAGATAAGAGAGTTGGTCTTCAAGTCATTCCAAGCCAATAGGAATCCTTTAGCATCTTCATGAAAAACCGACTGAAAATTCCAATAGCCCAAGAATTTCATCCAAATTGGCCAAACAACCGAACAGGAAAAAAATAAATGCGATGAAGACTCTTCTTCAAGATTACAGAAAGAACACAAAGTATCATTTATGCCCTGAACACCTCTCTTAACCAGAGCTGTCTTGACCGCCGACTTCTTTAAGATAACTTGCCAAAGAAAAGTCTCAACTCTTGGAGGCAACAGACCCCTCCAAACATTAGACTTCCAAAATTTAGCTTCCTCTGAATCGGGAGAACCCGAATAAGATAGATTGACACATGATTTCACAGTGAAAACCCCTTCCCCATTCCCCTTCCAAAACAGTCCATCAGTGGCATCAGCAGAAATAGAAAAATCAGAGATAACAACCATCAAATTTGCCCATTGCTCAAATTCCCAGTCATTCAACTCTCTCCTCAACTGAACGTTCCAAATCCAACCCCCTGAACTGAACTCCCCAAACTGAGATAATCTTCCTTCTTTATTCACTGCAATAGAAAATATTCTAGGGAACAATACCATCAAAGGATGATCCATTGTCCAATTGTCTTGCCAAAACCGAATGTTCCTCCCATTGCCAATTTTAAAGCTATATTTACCTCTGATACTACAGCCCAACGAATCAGCATTATAATGATTTCTCACCATATCTCTCCACATCCAAGAAAGTTTAGGAGAGACTTTACTGTCAAACTGCATCAAGGAAGGATCCAATTTATATTTGATGCAGAGCATTTCCCTCCAAACCGCCTCCCTCTCAACAGCAAACCTCCAAGCCCACTTTTCCAAAAGTGCCCTATTCACCATCTTTAAATTAGGAACCCCGAAGCCTCCTTCAATTTTTGGTTTACAAACATCGGACCAGCTTACCCAATGTATCTTCTTTATCCCATCACCACCACCCCATAAAAAATTTGACATGATAGAATTTAGAGTCTTGTAAACTGAAGCTGGAACCTTGAACATTGACAAAAAGTATATAGGGAGTGAGCATAGAACTGATTTAATTAGAACTAGCCTGCCTGCCAGTGACAGAGAGGAGCCTTTCCAGCCCGGTAACCTCTTATTAAAGCTTTGAACCACTGGATCCCATAAAATGTTGGAGTTCCTATGTGGACCTAGAGGGAGTCCCAAATATTCTGAGGGAAAAGAGCCCACTGAACATCCAATCATAGCTGCCCAATCCTTAATTTCCTCTTCCTTTAAGTTCACTCCAAATAATTTACACTTCCTTAAATTCAGCTGGAGACCAGAAATAATCTCAAACACCCGAAGAACCCTCTTTACATTCAAGATCTGTTTTTCCGACGCCCCACAGAACATAATAAGGTCGTCAGCAAATTGCAAATGAGTTAAATTAAAATTCCTCTCCTCTTTTCTAATGACCAATCCCGAAAAAAGCCCTCCTGAAACAGCCTTCGCTATTAATAGATTCAATAGTTCCCCAACTATATTGAACAACAATGGAGACAAGGAACAGCCCTGCCGAAGACCCCTCGCCATAGGAATTTCCTCAGTAGGAACTCCGTTCACCAAAACTGAAACAGTCGCTGAAGTGACACATTTCGAAATCCACCCTATCCATCTAGAACCAAAGCCCATTTCCTTCATTATTCTGAACAAAATAGGCCAGTCAAGAGTATCAAATGCCTTCTTGAAATCAGCCTTAAAAACACACCCTTTTAAACCATTCTTCCTCCAAAAGTCAATCCCTTCATTTGCTATAAGAGAACAGTCCAGGATTTGCTGACCGGGGATAAAAGCGAATTGACTTGGGCTGATCAAATCTGAAATGCAGCTCCTAAGTCTTCTTGACAGACATTTCGAGAGTATCTTATACAATCCACCAACAAGGCTTATAGGTCTAAAATCGTCCAGACCACCAATGCTAGAAATCTTAGGAATAAGAGTGATGAACGTGTGATTTACTCCATGTTCCCATTCCTTCCCCAAGTAAAAATTATGAAAGAATTTCATAATATCTACCTTAAGGACCTGCCAAAACCTCTTGAAAAATCCCAGATTAAAGCCATCAGGACCCGGAGCTTTGTTGCTACCACAAGAGTTCACCACCTCCCACACTTCCTCCTCAGAAAACTCCTGTTCTAAGAACTGCTTCTGCTCCAAAAAAATTCTGGGAAAATCCAGATTCAAATCATCAATTTCTAAAGTAGTTCGTTCATTATAGATCTTAAAAAAATACTCTTTAACTATGGCCTTAATTGCAGTTGGGTCTTCAACTGTTTCCCCTTTGAAGTTTAAAGCAAGTAGAGCATTCCTTTTATTCCTAATCGTAGCACAAGTGTGGAAGTATTTAGTATTGCGATCCCCATCAACAATCCAATTAGTTCTCGAGTTCTGAAACCAGATCTGCTCCTGAATCTTGTGAAGCTTCCACAATTCTGCTCTAAGATTTTTCAATTCAGTTAATACCTCACTGTCAACAATTCCTTGCTTCTGTTGAATATCATCCTCTATCAACGAAATTTTCTTCTCTAACTCAGAAATCAAAGCACCTGGATACTTATCTCTGTTCCCAGACCACTTCTTAATTGCATGTTTGGTGTTCCTCATCAGACTAAAAACGCCTGCCTCATTCTGACTATCCTTACCACTCTGAAAAGAAGAAACAACCAGATCCTCAAAACCCTCCTCATCCATCAAATAATTGAATAATCTAAACGGTTTTCTACCCCATTCCACTCCTTTATTCTCCAGAATTATAGCATTATGATCTGACAAAGATCTTGGAAGAAGCGACTGCACAACGCCCGGAAACAGCTCTAGGAAACGACAATCAACCAAAAAACGGTCCAATCTTACAAAAGTGGGATTATCTTGGTTATTACACCAAGTGAACCTACCCCCGTTCAAAGGGAGATCAATCAAGCCCGTATGAAGAATGAACTCATTAAAGATCTCCATTGAACTCCTACTTTGACCCCTTCCCAATTTCTCATCTTCTTGTAAATATACATTGAAATCCCCTCCCACACAAATGGGGTAAGTCTGTCCACTAAGAAAACTGCTTAATTCTTCAAAAAAACCAGATTTCTCCTCCTCCACTGCTGGACCGTAGACATTGATGAAACCACACCTGGAATCAATACTCTGAAATTTACCGAAAGTAGCTATGAATCTCCTGCTAACAAACTGACTCTCCAGCTCAAAAACATTGTCATCCCAACAACACAACATGCCCCCCGCTGATCCAACTGAAGGAGATTCCAAAATTCCTTTTAGTTTATTAATTCCACTTCTCCTAAAAAAAGACTTCCTAAATTTCTCAGACTTAGTTTCTTGCAGCCAAAGAAAAGTAGGATTAAAGTTGGAGACTAAATTCTGAACAACCCTCTTTTTTTCGTTTTTCCCCAAACCCCTAACATTCCATGAACATATTACTAACTTTGTCATCTTGAAAAAGGAAATAGGTGCAGACACACTCCTCAATCAACCAGACCTTTATTAACCCCATTTACGCCTTTCTCTAAAGCTATGATTTTATCCAAAAAGGCTTCTTTCCCTTCCTTAAAAGACACACCCAAAAGCTTGCTAACCTCCCAAGTTTCTACCGCTTCTTTCAACAGAATCGAAAAAGCTGAGGAGGATGCTGTATCAATGCTCACCTGGTCGAGGGCTTCACGATACAGGATCCTTTTAGTTCTTCTCTTCCTTCTAATCAGCAAACCAGATTTGGACTTTAAGCAATCACCTTCTGAAAAGTAACCTTCAATCTCCCTTCCTACACTCCCACCCCCAGATCCATTGTCAAGATAAGGAAAAAGACTCCCATCAGCAATGTTCTCTGCTGATAAACAGAGTTGAATATTAGTACTGGAATCAACATCTAGCTCCCTCTGCTTAACTACGGCACCCCCTGTTTCAGACGAGATGTTCAACAAATCCCCATACCAGTATCTTCTTTCCCTCGACCTGTTGTATACCCTTTTACAATTGCTCAGACTTCTAGTTTCCAGCACATTACTCTCTGTTGTAAACTCTCGTCTAGAGCGATGTAACTGCCTCCCCCTTGAGTTGTTATTTGAAACCTGTTCCACCGGTCTTAAATTTTCTTCTTCGGGCTCTATCTCTACACTAAATGGCTTCTCTACAAATGGACTCGTTTCCAATACCTTGGACACTCCCCTACTTTTTCCTGATAAATGAAGGTTTTCAACCAATTCCCCAAACTTATTAATTGTAAATGCTGGCCCAGAAATAAAACCCGAAAAGTATTTTGACCCAGACTGCCCAGAGTCTTCAGAATGGGCCTGAGATCCATCAGCCGAATAATTTTGACTTCTAATCCCCAAACCTGCATACTCACCAACTTTAAACTTTCCAACAGTCTGACTTTCTGACAGACCACATTTAATATCTTTCCTATCTAAGGAAAATCTTGCTAGCTGTCTGTCCTCACTAGCTCCTCCAGAAACACGAAACACTCCCTGGTCAATCCAATTGTCCACTGACAAACGATTTTCCCCTGCTGCGCAAGTCTCACCTTCCCCATGAACTGACAACAATCTGTCTTCATCCTTCTCAGACATCCTCTCTTCAAAAAATATCTCACCGGAATCCTCCACCGGAAAATTACTGAAAACGAACTAGAATACTCACTAGCTGATCCAATCTTGATACTTACTTTGAATGATCTTCCATACGATCCAAGAGTAATAACCTCTGGAACATCAAAAGGACTTTCCACCTTCAATAAGATTCTTGCCATTGTGAGATCTTCTCTTTTCCTTGTACTATCATGGATATCTACCACACTGCCCCATCTACCAGCCAACTTCTCGAAGAAGGGTTCATTCCAGCATAACAGAGGAACACCTTTTAATTCCGCCATGCAAAAGGCCATTGGTACCCCGGTTTCATTCAGTAAAGGTTCCACTAGCTCGAACCACTGTTTTAAAACTTCTTCCTTCTTACTCCATAACTCCAGCATCTCCTCATGAGATTTAAGAACTATCACACAAGAATTCCAGACATAGCCCCATCTCGCAATTTGAACATCATGGCCTTCTTTTAATAATGCCGTCCGAATGAACTCCACTTGAAAGGAGTATTTGATAATCCCTGTTAACGACCTCTTCACCCAGTTGGCGCTGTCTGTTGGGATATGCATCTCAAATATATTTCCCTTGACATTCCTCCTCTGGATATCCTCAGACATTAGATCATTGTTCCCCCTTCTATTCCCATTAGACAACAGAGCATCCCTATAAGATCTATCATCCCTTCTACTTCTATTAATATTATCTCTTTCTCTTGATTTTGAAGATTCTGCATTAATCTGACCAGCAACATTGTTTGAAGAAGAAAGCACCACCCTTGACCTTGAACGTTCATCCTTAAATCTGGCAGGACTAACTGAGATCTTCCTTCCATCAATCACAATCCCGTTTAACTCCTCAACAGCCCTCTTCAGATCCTCCTCCCTCTTAAAATGAACAAAAGCAAAAGTGGAAAATCTGTATTTTGGATTTCTAGTTTGGCTGGGAATAAAGACTCTCGTAACAGGACCATGGACTAAGAATCTTTTCCTTTCCTGTGTGGAATGGAATTTATTTTCTTTGCATATTCCTAAAGAGCATTTTAATTTTTACCCTCTGCACTTTACACCAGGTTTTGGCGTCTGAGGATGATCAGGATGCTCTCACTACTGATCCAGATGAACTCATTGCTTCTGAAGACAGTGAAGGCATAAGTGGAGATGAAGAAGATATATTTAGAAACCTTCTTTCCCGAGCTGGATTTCACCTTACCTATGGAGATAATCCATTGGAGCTGCAGGTCACTTTACGAGAGAAGCTTCTGATGGATGCTGGGGCAATTGCTGGTTTTCTGACTGGACTGCGTGTTTACCTTGATGACCCAGCCAAAGTAAAACGTTTGCTACTTCCAACAAAGCTTTCTGGTAGTGGTGATGGGAAGATTGTTACAAAGGCAGATGAATCTTCACCTAGTTTGATGAATTTGCTAATGGGGGTTAAAGTTTTGCAGCAAGCAATTATTGATCTGCTATTGGATATAATGGTTGAATGTTGTCAACCCTCAGAAGGAATTGCTGATTCGTCGGATGCAAATTTAAAACCTTTTGATGGTGGTGAAGCTGCTAGCCCATGTCATTGTGAACGGGAGAATGGAGCTGTAAAATCTGCTCAATTTCCTATATATGAAAGAGTTGATTCTTGTGTGAATGATGGTAGCACTGCCTCTGCTGTACAAAGTTCTGACATGAATGGGATTGACATCTCTGGAAAAGCTGTTTGTGGTCATCCTACTTCTCCTCCAGAAACCTCTGGTGGGAGTTCTTTGGAGAACTCCTCACTTTGCTCAAAGGTAAAATTTGGAAATAGCATTGACTCAATTATTAATCATCTATTGACTACTTGAATAATTTGAATTTCCAGACCAAGTGCTCGGAGCAATCTGAGGAGCTTTTAGGGTTGATTGTCAATTCATTGAGAGCCCTAGACGGATATGTTCCACAAGGCTGTCCTGAACCCAGGAGGAGGCCCCAGTCGGCACAAAAGATTGCTCTTGTATTGGATAAAGCTCCTAAGCATTTGCAACCTGACTTGGTAGCATTGGTGCCTAAATTGGTAGAGCTTTCAGAGCACCCATTGGCTGCTTATTCTCTTCTTGATCGACTTCAAAAGCCAGATGCTGAGCCTTCTTTGCGGTTGCCTGTAAGATTGTCTTTGTAGCTGACTTAATTTCTTTACTTATGTGGTATTTGTGGGTTGTGTCAGTGCCACTAGGCTGCACTTTAAGAAAATGAGGGAGTTTCTGAACATTTGCCTCGAATTTGAATGCAGTATTGTTTCCACTCATGTTTTTTCTCTACAAATTTCATATGTTTACTTTAATATGTTAATAATTATTCTTCTCTTTCAGGTGTTTGGAGTCCTCGGTCAACTAGAATGCGACAGTGAAGTGTGGGAGCGTGTCTTATTTCAATCTTTTGAGCTCTTGGCTGATTCAAATGATGAATCTCTGGTTGCAACCATAGATTTCATCTTTAAAGCTGCGTCACAATGCCAACATCTTCCAGAAGCAGTATGGTTTGCTTTCTTTTGTCATCATTTCATTCAGCATATCAACATAGTTTTGGGAAGCATATATAACTTCTGTTTTCTTCTGTAGGTTAGATCTGTTCGCGTTAGGCTAAAGAACTTGGGCCTAGAGGTGTCTCCTTGTGTTCTTGAATTTTTAAGTAAAACTGTAAATAGCTGGGGTGATGTTGCTGAGGCCATACTAAGAGATATTGATTGTGATGATGATTTCGTTGAAAATTGCTCAGTGTTGCCCTCTGGATTCATCTTGTTTGGTGAAAATGGATCTCCTCCTGAAAGATTGAGTGTTCTAGATGAGCAGGCCTTTTGTGAAGGTCAGCATTTTTCTGACGTTTATGTCCTGATAGAAATGCTATCCATACCTTGCCTTGCTGTTGAAGCTTCTCAAACATTTGAGAGAGGTGTGGCTCGAGGTGCCTTTGTGGCTCAGTTGGTGGCCATGGTTTTGGAAAGACGTCTAGCCCATGGACTCGATTGTAATGCCAGATATGTTGCAGAAAGTTTCCAGCATGGAGATGCTGTAGTAGAGGGAGAGGTCAATGAACAGCTTAGTGTTCAACAGGATGACTTCACTTCACTTCTAGGTCTTGCCGAGACATTGGGTCTCTCTAGTGACCTTCATATCAGGGGCTTTGTGATGATGCTCTATACAATATTATTTAAGTGGTATATTGATGAGTCCTACCGAGTGAGGTTGCTGAAGAGACTTGTTGATCGTGCCACTGGCACTACTGAAAATATTCATGAGGTAGTCTTGGATTTTGATATTTTGGTTGCTTTGGTTTCTGAGGAGCAAGAAATTGTTAGACCTGTTCTCAGCATGATGCGAGAAGTTTCTGAGCTTGCACATGTTGATCGGGCAGCACTTAGGCACCAGTTATGTGCTAGTGAAGATGTGATTATCCGCATGCGTGAAGAGACAAAGGTTGGAATTTCTAATGTGGCAAAGGAAAAAGCTGCTTTATCCCAGAAATTAAGTGAATCTGAAGCCACAAATAACAGACTTAAGGTACTTGTCTTAAACTAATGATAAGGTTTATTTTTTATATTCTATTTATTATATTTTTGAAAGATTAATGGTAAGGTTTATGATTCAGGAAGTTCTTAATATTAAGCTATTTTATAAATTTACAGTCCGAAATGAAGGCTGACATGGATTGCTTTGCTCGGGAAAAGAAGGAACTTTGTGAACAAATACACGAGGTTGAGAGTCAACTTGAGTGGCTCCGCTCAGAGAGGGATGATGAAATTGCAAAACTCACTGCTGAGAAGAAAACACTTCAAGGTCGTCTTCATGATGCAGAGGCACAGCTCTCCCACTTGAAGTCTCGCAAACGAGATGAGTTGAAGGTACTTCAGATGATAAATGTGTTCCCTCTTTGCTATTGTGCTGGTTTGTGTTGACTGCTATCTTATTCTCTATCTGACAAGTTTTGTTACGTGACAGAGGGTAGTCAAGGAGAAGAATGCTCTTGCTGAAAGATTGAAGAGTGCTGAAGCTGCACGGAAAAGATTTGATGAGGAATTAAAACGGTATGCCACAGAGAATGTCACTCGAGAAGAAATTCGCCAGTCGCTTGAGGAGGAGGTTCGCAGATTGACACAAACAGTAGGGCAAACCGAAGGTGAAAAGCAGGAAAAGGAAGAGCAGGTTGCTAGGTGTGAAGCATATATTGATAGCATGGAATCAAAGTTGCAGGCGTGCCAGGTTTTTTCCTCAATATACATGCTGCCTTCTCTATCTCATAATCATGATCTGGGAGGTCTCATCTGTTTGACCGGAACCTAGTGAAAAGGGGATTGGGTATTATTGAACTTGTCCTATGGTGTCTGGTTTGAGTCTGAATCATCATTTGGGCATCTCATGAAAAGTTGTGAGCTTAGGAAATCTAATACGGTTTTTGTGCATTTCTCATTTGTGTCTATTCTTCTGCAGCAATACATTCACACCCTTGAAGCCTCACTTCAAGAAGAAATGTCGCGACATGCCCCGCTCTATGGTGCTGGATTGGAATCTCTGTCCATGAAAGAGTTGGAAACATTGTCAAGGATTCATGAGGAAGGGCTGAGGCAAATCCACACCCTCCAGCAGCGTAAAGGCAGCCCTGCTGGCAGTCCACTTCTGAGTCCACTTACCATACCACACAATCATGGGTTATACCCTACAACACCACCACCACCGATGGCTGTTGGCCTGCCGCCTTCTCTCATCCCCAATGGTGTAGGGATACACAGCAATGGGCATGTGAATGGCACCGTTGGGCCTTGGTTTAACCATGCTTGATTCATAGGGCCTCAAGTGCTTTTAGTTACCCCCATAGAGCTGGTTAACATCTCAATTAGGCAGAGATGCCACCTTTTTAAATTTCCTTTTTGCGGTATTTGTTGCTGGTAGATCTGTTGGGCCAGAGGTGTGTGTGGAGAAAGAAACAATAAGAGGAAGAAAGATCCCTTTCCCACGACCGGTCGATAGAACTAACAGTCGGAAATGCCGTTTACTTATGTCTTTGATTCGATTTTTATAAAGGAAAAAGTTAATTTCAGGCATTCGAAAATGTTTTGGTTAACTAGGATTTTCTCTTTTAACCATCCAAGCAAGGGCATGTTTGATTTTTCTATCTTAGTAAGTTGATGGAAATTTGATGTAGGGATGACAGGAATGAACAATTGCCATTGTTGTTGAGCACGTGCCTGCCATTAACATTATTTTAGTATGTCTGCCAGCCCCAACGACCAGGCAAAGAATCAGATACCAAGGTGATGGCAAAAAAAAAAAAAAAGCAGATTTTATTTGCCGCCTGGCCATATTTATCCGAATTAATTGAACCGGAATGGGCCGATGTGTTAGTAAGATCGAGTATCTACGACATTAAGTGTTTAGAATCGAGTTTCATTTTTATGTAAATAGATGGGGGAAAAGCAAAGAAAAAAAAGAGAACAAATTACTTTCTTCTTTCCAGATAAGAATAAAGATTAATAAATTAATGTTTTAATCATTACTCAAGGTACCATACACCTTCCAACTTTCCCCACAACTAACAAACATCCTTAATTTAAATTCTCATCTTCCTTTTTCTTCCTCGCTAAGCAAAAAGCTCATCTCTTTCATGCAATGCCTTGAAACTTGTAGCGAAAATCCCAGAACACCAATCTATTCAACCTACATTCATTATATTCCATTGGTATCGGATTGATCGTTGCTTTTGCTCGATATGAGAAAGTCTGATCCTCTTGTCGTGCTCACATGGTATTTCCTGATGTACACCATATGCACTTAGTTTTTCTTATAGTGTGGCTTTGAAGAAAATAACTCTATTTTTCTGTTTTTGGATGATTTACATGTTGGGTTTTTGTGTTTGGCTGAACTGAAACAATATGCAGGCAAAGACGGTTGCTTCATTTGCAAGGATGACAGTGCAAGATACAAGAAAAATCCTTCCACAAGAGTTTTGTCCACCTTGGGTCGTCTTTTCTCAGCGCCAAAAGTTGAGTTATAATTACATCCAATCCATCATACGTTAGTACACTATCAGATTGTCAACTAATATTAGTTTCTTCATAAATACAGTTAATGTGGCTCGATGTGCAGCTCAAAAAGATTTGGCCATATGTTAACGAGGTAACTTTTTTCTCTTTTTTGTTAAAAATATTTTCCAGATGCAATTTGTTTTACGACTTTCACTTGGTTCATCTATACGATGGCATAGGCAGTATCAGAGCTAATAAGAGCTAGTGTTGAGCCAACTCTGAACAATACACACCGGCTGTCATATCATCTATGAAGTTTGGAAAGTTGACTCTTCGTACAATTGCTCCACAATTTACAGGTTAGTTTCTTTCTTTCTTTAAATTGCAACATCAGTTTCTGTATGTGGAGCATATGGAGAACGGTTTTGGTTTTAATTCATTTCCTTTATAGTTCAATGATGTTGCACAAAATGTTCATACTCTTTAGGTGTTTTGATCATTGAGAGTGAAAGTGGTGATGGGGGAATCACCATGGAATTGGAGAAGTGGGATGGTAACCCAAATATTGTGCTTAATATCAACACTAGACTTGGTGTTTCCCTGCCTGTGCAGGTAAACTTGCTGCTCATTGCTAAAGAGCCTTTCTCGTTTATCATGTTCGATGTATTCGATAAAATGCCTCTTAAAGAATTACCACATTTGCAGTTAGTCTCCACATTTGGTTTTCCAATTTGTCATTAAACTTGACTAATTCTTTACTAGGAAACTATTCTTTGTGGTTGGTATATGTATGTTTTCTAAGGGGAGAGAGTGTGTGCCTGCTGTTATTCATCTGGTATTGAGCTTTTGCTATTTGCAAGCTATGACATATACTTAATAGCATTCTTTTCCTTATCTGATGTGTCTTCCTTATCTTATCATCTCTTGGTTTTAACTTGTTCGTCCAGGTAAAATTTTTTTGGATTCACTGGAGTCTTTAGGTTAATCTTCAAGCCACTTGTTGATCAGTTTCCTTGTTTTGGATCTGTTTCATATTCCTTGAAAGAAAAGGCAAGTATCAAGTCTTTTTAACATTTCCAATGCTTTACCAACAAGAAGAAACTATTGAGCGATGATCATATTCGACTCGATATTTATGCTTAATTATTTTACAAAACATGCAAAACAAAAGCTCAAAAGGATGGAATATGTTGTAACAAATTGATTTACTATTGCTTAGAATCTGTGTATATGAATATATCTGCATGATGCAACTAAATTTCATACTGATATCATGGTTATATGCTTCTTTCTACAGAAAGATCTTGATTTTACACTTAAAGTTGTCGGAGGTGATTTATTTTTCCTTGATTTTTCAACCACTGAGAGTGCAAATTATGATATGGTTCTTATGACCTTGTCTTTCGATTTTGCAAGTACGGGACACAATTCGGAATGCTATTGAAGATTCTATAATGTGGCCTGTTAGGAAAATTATACCCATTTTGCCTGGGAATTACAGGTATGCTAAATCACCGTAGTTGAATTTCATCTCTTCCTGTTTCTTTTTAATGTCTGAAGTGTTCACTGCATATATTTTATCCATATAATTTGAGGTCAAATAAGTGCATTCTTCCCCATTGATGGAACTGGTTTGTTTATGATTATACCCTCTACCAGTGATCTGGAACTGAAACCTGTTGGAGTATTAGATGTTAAGCTTGTGCAAGCCAAGGACCTAGCAAATAAGGACATGGTTGGGAAATCCGATCCTTTCGCCGAGTTATTTGTGCATCCACTTTGGCATAAAATGAAAACCAGTAAAACCATTGTAAGATACTTTACTTTCTCCTGCAACTGCTATCATCTTTTCTAGGATTGATGTTTAACTCTAATAGTTCTTTAGAATAGCACATTGAATCCGATTTGGAACGAGCACTTCGAGTTCATTGTAGAAGATGCATCAACTCAACACTTGACCGTAAGAGTCTTTGATGACGAAGGGCTTCAGGCCCCCAAACTGATTGGCTGTGCTCTCGTAGCATTGAAGGACCTTGAGCCTGGTAAAGTGAAGGATATCTGGTTGAAACTGGTCAAGGATTTGGTGGTTCAAAGAGATACTAAAAACAGGGGGATGATAAAAACATGTTGATCATAGTTCTCACTCATTTCCTTATTGCATTAGTTATGGAGTTCAGTGTTTTACAATATTCTGAACAACTTGAACTTAGTAGTAACTGATAAGCTCCATGATATCTTCCCCATAGGTGCAATTTGAGCTCCTTTACTGTCCTTTTGGCACAGAAAGCAGCTTCAAGAACCCATTTAGCCCTGATTTCTCATTGACATCATTCGAGAGGGCCCTTAAAACTGCAACCGCTGAAACGGAGGCTATGGACCTTGACAAGATTATGATCAAAGGAAAAATGATGTCATTGTCAGAGGAGACTATCAGTAACAGTTATAGCAGCTGAAGACTTGCCGGCAGTCGGTTTTTTGGGGAAGGCGGACCCTTTTGTCATCATCACGTTGAAGAAATCCGAAGCAAAAGCCATGACAAGGGTGAGATATACCATACATTTCCCCCCTAAAAGCTTTTGCAGGCCAGGTCTCAAAGAGCTTTATTTCACTTGTTTTTCAGGTTGCTAATGAGACATTGAATCCACTTTGGGACCAGACATTCGACTTTGTCGTGGAGGATGCATTACATGAAATGATAATTTTGGAAGTTTGGGACTATGACACTTTAACAAAGGTATAATTCCTACTTTGCTCTACATTCCCACATTGCCCGTGACAGCCTTGTTAACCATGCTAAGACAAATTTGTCAGGAAAAAATTGGAAGATGTATTATGACACTCACTAGGGTTCTTTTAGAAGGGGAAGTTCAAGACACGTTTGAACTAGATGGTGCTAAATCAGGAAAGCTTTTGCTCCATCTAAAATGGACCCCTCAGTTAGTATTCAGTGATTCTTGATCGTACCAACAGAGAATGAGAGGCGGTGAAACAATTTGCAGACACTGATGAGGCGAGGACCTGAATAAATGCTCTGCTAATCTGCAAGCCAGGGCTGTATAACTTATCAATATCAATAATACCAGAGTCACCTTTCTTTAAGAAGGCAATGTAATTTGAAACATTTGAGGAGTAGATCAAAAAGACAATCACTTCATAGCTACATTATGTTACTGTAAAATATAGCATAATATTCCTTTCTTTTAAGGGTATTTTTAACCATTAATTTATTTATATTCCAGTACATCTAAGCGAGATTTTCACAGTAAACATCAAATGAGGAGAATGAAGCAGAGCTTATATAATGATACCAGAATTGCATACAAGGAAACATTAAACATGTCCTGATTTGCAGTAATGTTCACAATCTTCTCTAATCTAATTTAAACAGACCCCGTCATAAGTTCCCACTATACCATATTCCTAACCTCAGCAAGGCAAAGTAAAAAACAAGGAAAGATCCGAGCTGATTTCCGGTTTTTAGCTGTTGGATGAAGCTCTTCATCCTCGCCCTCGTCGTCGTCATCCTCATCATCCTCATCTCCATTGCCAGCATCCCCATTGGCGTCAGGATCACCTTCCTCCTCACCTCCATCTTCATCTTCATCATCTGGTGCTTCATCTTCATTCTCGTCATCATCATCCTCAGTGTCACTGGCATCCTTGTTCTCAGGTCCAGGTTTAGTCATAGCGATAAGCTGGGCAAGCGGAAACCTACAAAAGAAAATTCACTATTTTTCCCCATTCCACAGAAGAACAAGAAAGAGTTGGGCAAAACAATTAATGCAATCAACCCTGCATTTGCTTCAGGCTCTTGATTGAAGACATCAATTCCATTAGGCAGAGTTCCCATCTGGAGAAAAACACCCAACTCATGCTGAGCAGCAAAACAATGTTTTCTAAAAGCAGTTTGTGAGCAACAAGTAAGCAGATCACTTTCGAAAAGGACACGACTTCAGGAATCCAAAACACGGAATTACCCGTTGCCACATGAATTACAAATATACTATTACACCAAGTAACAAACAAACAATATCTTCCACAATAACACAAACAAATAATCCAATCAAAACACTAAAACTTCCATTTTACAGTCTTCCCCTATAAACATCCAAATAAAGCTCTTCCTTGACATCCCATTATCCCACTACATTAAAAAACTATGAGAACCAAAATGCTCTAGACAGGCTGTCAGGCAAAGTAACAATATTCCTAGCATTGAAAAGATTTATTAAAAAGAAAAATTGCATTGAAGATGAAAATGGTGAACTTCTAGTTTTTTGATTAACGTATACAAATAATCACGAAAAAATTGTCAATTTCCCAACAAATTCAAGGAAAATAACAAATCCTTATAAAGCAAAGAGTCCTCAAACCATTCACTGAAAAAACATGCAAATTCGAAATGTAAGGTAAATTAGATGGGAAAGAGAATTTTACCATCATGAGCAACCGTGCGACAGAGTTTGCAGCAACAATGGCGGTCTCCAAAACCATAGCTTGCAGTGCAAAGCCAACGGAACAGCCAAAAACGGCACCGTTTGTGGGTACACTTTCCGCTAGTGTAACCGTTGACATGTCGCGATAAAGCTAGAGAAAGGAACCCCAATTGAATAGATAAAATCAAAAGACTGAATTAGGTTTTTGACATTTTGGGGTTTTAAAATAGGGTTTTGGAGATATTTTAATTACTATTCAGAAAATAGTCCAAATTAAAGTGCTTGAGGTAAGCGATAGAGTAACTATCTGTCTTGGAGTTATGGATGAGAAGCTAGAATTGACACCGTAGGATCCCCTTGCCTTGTCTCTTTCTAAGGTATTGATCACGAAATAGAATGTGTTATATTTCTGGATAAACTAACTTTTAGTCATGAATGTAGTATCTTTATATAAGTTAATCATTTTTTTTCAAATTAATAATTAAACTTGGATATTTTATTTCATTTTTTTTGTTATCCTCCCGGTTCTAAGGTGGACTGAATCGGGTCGCACACCTAGCTTTGATGGACGAGTTTCATCGCTTAGATTTTTTGTATACACGGATACTTAAACTTGAGACCTTGCTTAAATGATATCAAGATGCTTACCACTTGAATCATCCCTTTTTTTTGGATAAATCAATTCAATTTTATATCCAAAAGAGCAGTAAAACTGCTTCAAAACTCTGAAAGTTCTTACATAAAAATCAACACTTACAACACTATACAACAGAACTGAAAACATCAATGTTCAATACCCCATTGATTACAAAGAGTATTATTGACATAGTCATTTCTATTTATTTCTCTACCCTTAAGTTGAATAGCAACAGAGTCTTTAATAGCAAGGAGTAAGGCATTAACATTTCTTGAGCGTCCTTGGTAAATTCTCTTGTTTCTCTCCTCCCAAATAATGTAAGTAAAAGTAGTCCAAGCTAGCTTCATAATAGTAGTGAGTAGTGATTTTCCTTTCCATGAAGCACAAGCCCATGAAATGTGAGCATCCCATGAACAAGTTCCTCTGCAAATGCCATTAAGATGCAGAACAGAGTTCCAAACAGAATTTGCCACAGAACAATGAAGAAACAAGTGGTCCCTAGTTTCCCTCTCTTCACTACAAAGCACACAAATACCGTCAATGTTTAACCCCATTCGAATCAGCCTATTTTTGGTTGGTAATCTGTCAAGGAAAGCCATCCAAGTAATAATACTATACTTAGGGACATGAAGAGGAAACCAGAATAGTTTATGCCAAGTAACCTTGTCATCTTTGTTACGGATGTGATGCCATATGTCTTTGATTGAATGAGTTCCAGAAGCAAAAATGGGGGCAGCGTGATTCCTCATACTGAGCAGTTTACGAAAGCTCCAGCTTGTATTGATCCTAGCCTCCATAGTCCAAAAATCAGAGTTCTTGATAACATAAGTTTTGATCCAAGCGATCCATAGCGAACCATCACCCGCAAGGATTTTCTTTATCAAGTGCAGAATACAAGTTTTATTCCAAGATTTTATGTCTTTTAGGCCAAGACCCCCTTCCGATTTTGGGAGGCAAAGCTTATCCCATTTAACTCTTGCACCTTTAGCAGCAATATCAGAACCTTTCCAGAAAAACCTTGAACATAACTGCTCAATCCGATTAAGCACAGATTGTGGAAGGATTAGCTGCCTACACCAGAAATTAGTGATACTATGAAGAACAGTTTTAATGAGCTCGAGTCTTCCAGCGTAACTCAAATGTCTTCGAGACCATTTATGGAGACGGTCTCTAATATTGTCAATTAGAGCTATGCAGTCTTTCTCCGAAAGCTTTCTAGATACTAGTGGAACACCCAAGTATCTAACAGGTAAGCAACCATGGTTAAAACCCGTAATCTGTTTGATTTCTCCTATTTTCATTGGTGAAATTCCAGCAGTGAAGAATTCACATTTATGAGCATTAAGTTTAAGGCCTGAAATTTCATAGAAGTGATCAAGAACACTAATTACCCCCACAACAGATTCTACATTCCCTCGACAGAAAATAAGCAAGTCATCTGCAAAGGTGAGATGAGTTAACCCAATCTTTTTACATTTAGGGTGGAAGCCAAAAATACCTCTAGTAGCAGCTTTGTTGAGAATACTAGAAAGGATATCATTGATAGTACGAAAAGTAAAGGTGAGATGGGATCACCTTGTCTTAATCCTCTAGCACCTTTAAAGAAGCCAATTAGACTACCGTTAAAAGATATAGAGTACCGAGCAGTAGTGAAACAAGCCTCAACCCACTTAATATAATTGGCAGGAAGTCCAATAGCAATGAGGGCAGTAGAATAAAATCCCAATGTAAAGAGTCGAATGCTTTGTGGAGATCAATTTTCATTGAACATCTTGGTGATAAAGTCTTCCTTCCATAACCTTTGACAAGCTCCTGAGCTAGAAGAGTGTTATCTACTATGTTCCTCCCTTTAACAAAAGCCGTTTGGTTAAACGAAATAATTCCAGGGAGAAGGGGTGTCAATCGATTGACCAATATTTTAGAAACAGCTTTATAGACCACTGAACAACAAGAAATAGGCCGAAAATCTTTCACCTGGCTAGGATTTGGAATTTTAGGTATCAAAGTAATACAAGTGGCATTAAATGCATAAGGTTGAGTGTAAGGATCTCTAAAGAAGTGAGTAACAGCTGCCACCACGTCATCACCAATAATAGGCCAAGCTTTCTTGAAAAATATGGAGTGTAACCATCCGGACCGGGAGCTTTATCGTTGCCTTGAGAAAAAAATGCATCTTTAATTTCATCACGAGTAACCTCCTTAACAAGATCATTAGAGCTTTCCAAAGGCAAAGAGCTAAGAAGCAGCTCCTTTAAAGTGTTCGGGTCACAAGATTTAACCTCAAAATTAGTCCCAATCAGGTTGGTAAAGAACCGTAAGACTTCTGTAGCCATATCCTCATAAGTTTCTAATCTTCTTCCTTGGTCATCAATAAGCACACGTATAGTATCCCTCTTCGTTTTAGTAGCAACTGCAGAGTGGAAAAATTTTGTACATTTATCACCGTGATTAATCCACTGTACCTTCGCTTTCTGTCTTAAAAACATGTTTTCGGCTTCTTGAAGGAGGTGGAGCTCGTTTTGCAATTGGGATTCTTTTTGGAAAGAATCAGCAAGATTTAAAGATTTGATCTGTTGATCCTCGAGCTCCAGTTTCTTTTGGTTGACACGATCAGAAATATTGCTATAATGCTGCTGGTTTAGGGTTTTCAAACTGATTTTTAGGCGTTTAAGCTTGGAGAACAGTTGTTGCATAGGGTTGCCCTGGGAAAAAGAGTGCCAAGAATGGCTAACTATGCTTAGGAATTCAGAGTGGTGGGCCCAAAAGTTAAAAAATTTGAAAGGCTTAGGATGGTCAGCATGAACCTCTTTAGAAAGCCAAGCAATTACCAAACAGTGGTCAGAAATTCCAGGAGCAAGGAATTCCACATGTGACTTGGGAAAAGCAGTAAACCAAATAGGATTAACTAAGATTCTATCAAGTTTTTTTGCTAGATATGATTCGTGTTGTTTGTTGCTCCAGGTGAAAGTAGGGCCAAAATAAGGGTGGTCAAGCAATTCCAAGTCAAACAAAGCATCCTGGAATTCCTTCATGTCTGGAGTAATAAAAGGGCCCAACAGAGCAGAATTTGAACTTTCTGTCGAATTAAGAATAACATTAAAATCACCTCCCAGTATCCAAGGAAAATTGCCATGCTGGCTGTTCACTTCATGTAGATGCTGCCATAGTTGCCTTCTCAAAACACCTTCATTTCTGCCATAAATAGCTGTGATAATCAGAGGATTACTAAGATAATGACCTTTAATGGTTATACACTGATCAGACATGTGTATAATCGAGAAATCAATGCCTTTCTTCCAGAGGATCAAAATTCTGCCATTCTCAGCAAAGTTGTGATTAGTACAATAATTCCAGTGCTCAAACTTAGAATTCAGAATAAACGAAGCATTACTAGTTTTAACTCTAGTTTCCAAGAGGCAAAGAACATCAATATTCATAAGACGAGCTCTCTTTAGAACACCATGTTGTTTAAGAGGACTGTTGAGTCCTCTTATATTCCAAAATCCCACAATCATTGAGAAAGAGAGGATGTAGCAGCCACATTAACTCCTACTACAGTATTTTTAGCTTTATCAAAACGGTCTTTCTTTTTTGTTTTTAGTTCGTTCAAAAGATTGGCTACACCTTTAGATGCTTCTCTTTTCTTTGGTTTACTTTCATTCAAAACAGGAGATGAATCTTCAATTACGGATAGTATTTCGAATCTGTTTTTTGACCCAGCAAGCACAGTTGTCGATGAAGTCTTGCCTCTTTCCCGTGATAACAAAGTAGGTTCAGTAACCTCTACTGAAGGAACAGTAAGGTCAGGGAGTATAACATCTTTAACAGCAGAAATAATTTGATCAGTGGGAATAATGTTATTGCTTGAGTCAGTACTAACTTCAGTTGAAATAAGCTCCTTACTGTTGTTGCTAAGAGAAGTTAAATTTCCTTGTAACATCTCAGTTCCTCCTATTAACGGTTCAGAATCATTAGCATTAGGAATAGTTTCTTTCCTTTTCCATACTTGTGTAGGCTGCTGGGCAGTCTGTTTGTGAACTTTACAGCCCTTCTCTGTGTGGCCAAACATTTTACAACTCCTACAGCTTGGTGGTAACCAAGGGATCTCCACAAGCACTGAAGTAACAGACCCATCGTTCAATACGACCTCCACATACTCAGGTATTTTATCATTGGCCCTATTTCTAAACAGATTTTTGCAAATTCCAACCTTGTTTTTTCTGCAGTAACAGAGTCCATGGAGAGTGGGACTCCAATGGCACTAGCATATAACTAAGACCAGCTCGGGAGTAAAGTTCTAAAGGGACATTGAATAAGTGAACCCAAACTGGAATTTTTGTTAGGTCAAAACTGAGTTTTTTCAGATTTGGTTCCCAATTTCTAAGGATCAACGGTTTGTTGTAGATATGCCAAGGTCCATGTTCTAACACCCAATCTCTAGCAGCATTCGAACTAAAAGAAAAGAGGAAGAGATTGTTACCTGCTTTGCTGATGCGAACCGGACTGCCATTCGAAGCATTTTTCCACATGGCTTCAACGATTCTTTGCATTGAGATGAAATTTGGAGGTGGCCCAAGGAATTGTCCTACTAACGAGTGTTTCCACTCCGCTATCCCATCTTCAAAAACCTCTGGCGGTGGCTGAACCACCGGAGACCCATCGCGTAGTGTCGGAGGATAAAAATCAAGGTCAAGACCTTTTGAAATTTCAAACAACTTTCTCCAATCCATGGTTGCACGGGAACTGGTTGAGGAATAAGAGAATGAGGGGACAGATTAACCAGATGGAGAGAAGAAAACAAGACCGGAGCCACGAACGGAGAACCCAGAAACGTTAAACCTGCTAACGTGCACCTAGAGAAAACCGGCTATCGTGCGCTCAGGAATTCGGACTAGGCTTTCATTTGTGTTTTCCACTTGAATCATCCCTTGTTGGTTACTCTATGTTAATTTTTAAAAGATATGTTTATTTTATTTTTAATTTAATGTTTAATAATTTTATATATTTTATTTTTATCAAAAAAAATATTATTTTATACAAGAACAACTCAATATGAATTTAACCCATATTTTAAAGAGCCTATTTTTTTTAAAAAAAAATTCAAATTCATATTCCAAGCCTAATATTGTTCTTCAATCTCTTTCAAATTTTGGACGGATCTTTGAGCTTAGATGGATAATTTAACTCTCGAATAGATTCAAAAGCACTTGAAAATTTATCAAGTTTAATATCAACAATAAAATTAATATTATGGTAAAAAAACTCATTTCAGATAATTAAAAAATATCAAAATTCACAACAAATGGTGACAATTATATGAAGAAGAAGCATATGATAGTCTTTACAACCAATTATTTTTCCTTGAAAATGAACAATTTCAAATCAAATCAAATATGAATGACTCAAAACACCAAATTGTTGCCAAAAATGACAAACTTGTTCGATTCCCAATCATAAATCGTAGTGGTACAGAACTGAAACTTTACAAACTTTTCTTCTTTGCTGCCAAATAACAAGAAAATGACCTGCAATTACATAAAAGATCAATCACCACTTATACATGGATTCAAAAGAAACCATAAATCAAGATTAATGGTTAGAAGCCAAAACCCATACTATTTTTCATCAGAGTGATGGTAAAACAGTTCCTATTTTGCAAATAATTTGACAGGTAAGATTAAGGTAATCATGGATATCGGTCATCAACAAGCTGAAGATATATGAGCTTACCTATCCTAGTAGCACACAGAAAACCGATCTTGGAAAATTAATTAAACAAAATCTGAAGAACTTGCACTTGTCAATTGCTCCAAAAGAATGCTGAATCAACAGAAAACTCAAACTTGCTCCAAGACAAACTGAAGCTTTGGAGCACGGCGACGGAACAATGGCTCCAGGCGGAATGATGGAACACCAACCTGCCACCTTTTCACATCATACATATCATTCCATGCCTGTACAATCTCGTCGATTTTGAATCCTACACCTGCAATGAAATTTAGGGGATAATTTTCTTTTCCTGACAAGCTTTCCCAGGCAGCAACGCCAGTGACAAGAAAACAAGTGCGACGAGAGTTTAGAGATGACTCCTTCGTTATATACCTTCCGATGCAGACACATTGGAGCAGTGATTCTTTAACATAACAGCTATATCTGTAGGAGAAGCTCCAGCAAGTTCAAATTTCTCAACTGAAACTGCTAAACATTCTTCCCATGTTGGCAGCTCAAGCTTGTATTCGACAACAGAACGCTCATAAAGCAAAATTCCCCACAAAAGGTATATTTGTGAAATCATATTTGCAGCTTGTTCAGTAGCTTCTTCAGAAGAGATGTCTTGAAATAGCCCATCTAAACCCATTTTCTGCAGATGGGTCTTATACTTATCGAATTTGGAGAGTCCATTCAGTCGTTTCTCCTTCATTTCCTCCCACAGCTCCATACCCTTCTCCATGTTGTCCTCTGCCTCGTTATAAAGTTGCAGGACCTCCTGGGAAACCCCAGCTTCTAAATCAAGCTTACTCCCAGTTGCATGGTACCAACAGAGTTTCGCTTGCTCGAACTGCTGTTGTCCCAAAGCAAGAAAAGCTTCGTAAAAATCTGGTTTGATCTTTAATGCTTCCTCATACTTCTTTGCTGCCAATCCATATTCTTTCTTCACCCACTCGTATCCGCTCGAAATCTGTGCTAATTTGGATTCCTTTGAACCATCTTCTGTATAGACATGCTTCCTTGCCCTTGACATATGAACATTTCCCCAATTGAACAATGCCAGAGCTGCCATCTCTTGGAACTTATCCGCAGCCATTTCGAAAATCTCCTGTGCATCTTCACTTGTCACAGTCTCCTCCATTGCTTCCGCATACAACTTCATCCCAAGTTCATGAAGATCCAAGTAAGAATCAGAATCAAATCCGACGTAGTTCTTGAACAGACGTGCAAACTGTACAATCCAATCCTCCACACATGTTCCCTTAATAGCTCCTACACCACAGCCTGCATCACCATTATCATCAACAAACACAGTACTCAACTTCTCTTCGCTCTTGACCACCTCCTCTTTACTTGTTTCTTCGTAATCCGGTTCCCTGTCAGGACTAGTTTCAACAATATAGAAGCGAAGCGATCCACCGGCAACACTGGTAGATGATTCAGCCAACCCAAGTTCCTCATTAGAGGTGATTGTAACCAAATCACCCTCTGGATCCTTGTATTTCACAAGGATACCCTTCAATCCTGGAAACCTAGCTTGAGCAATATCCCTCACCAACTTAATATTACAGTTAACTGGTATTTGCGCCCACCGAATGTCGTCTCCGAGCACCATTTTCACAGGCTTCATAATCGCTTTCGCTTCCAAAACAGGCTTCTTCTCTTCCTCAACTGTCTTCACAACAACCTCCTTATCATTAACTTTCTCAACACTAACCTTCTTCTCCTCCACAATGACCTTTTCCTCAGTCTTCTTCTCTTCTTCAACCTTAATATCAGTCTTTTCACTTTTCACATGTTTTCCTTTCTTCTTCTTCTTCTTCACCTCCTTCTTCACCACATCCAGAAACCGCATCGGCCCACCGCCGGACGGTTCATTGTCGAATAAACCGAGTTCACTTTCATTAACAGTAATACCCTTCTCATCCATAGCCTTTTTAACACTCTCCATAATATCCAAAGCGGATAAATTTTTGGGTTCCATAGTTAAAACATTATAAACATCCCTATAAGCTAAATCCAATCTATTCAAAGCTTCATAACACCTAGCCCTTTTCAACAAGGCCCTGGAATATCTAGGAGAAACCTCCAGAGCCAAATTACATTCATCAATGGCGCGTGGGTACCCGACGATACCCATTTGCATGTAACAAGCAGCCATGTTGCCGCGCAAATAGGCGACATCGAGGTGGTTCTTAGGGAGGAGGTTAAGGGCTTTTTCGTACTTTAAGATTGCTCCTTCGTGGTCGCGTTTTTGGAAGAGACGATTACCTTCTTCTTTGAGCTCTTGGGACAGGTTGATGAAGATCGTCGTGTCTTCGTCGAAAGCCTTCGACGTCTTGTTTTCGCCTCCGCCGCCGCTGCCGGCGGACTTGTTTTGCTTGTTGAATTCCACCACTTTCTGGGCGGCTTCCTGAAGCTTCTTCTTCCCCGTTGGCTTCCCCATTTTTTTGGATTAAGAATTTCCCGAAATTAACACAGAAAAATCCAATCCAAAAATAATAATAATAATTTGAAGGAACTCAACGCTAATTTCAAAACGAACAAATAGAGGGGAATGTTTAGTTAAATTTCAGATAGGTGTTTGTTTCTCGTCAACGTTTTGCGGGGGAATGACAAAAGTCACTTTCCAATCGAGCGCGTTTAGTGAACGGCCCAATTGGGTCAATCACATTGGAAATTTGGAGGGAAGATATTAAGTGTGGAATTTATGATTAATATTTGATACTTTACAACCAAAGCCGACCAATCTCCAACTGACGACACAGGAGCGTGTGGGTCTCTTACCTTAAAAAGGTCGCTTTGTGTGGCCTAATCATGCTTCCATTCATGTATTACCATAATCTTTATTTTTAATTAGTTTTTGTATTCATTCTATATAGTTATTTTTCTAATATAAATTAACATTTAGGAAAAATGTTCTAAATATATTATAAACTACTCACTAAGTAGTTTAATATCTGCTATTCAATATATATTAGAGCAATTTCATATTTATTTTAAGACATTTAACTAAGTAATCTTCTTCTATGGCAGCGAACTCCGATTCAATGATAAGGAGGAATGGAAATGGCTCAAGGTTAAACCTTCTAAATTATAAAGTTCAAAAATCAATATGAACATTAAAAGGAGCCCTTAATTTTATAGAGAGAAATATCGGTTTAATATATATTTAGGTAATAATTGTTAACATTTATTCTAAAATGATCAATTATTTTATTTTTAAAGGTTTCGATAGGTACGATTCTTGAACACATTTAGATTCCATATTTGACAATTGTTATATAAAGAGATTATAGGCAATTTTATTTAAAAATCTTTCAAAAATAATTAAATATCAAAATAACACCATTTCGCCAATACTTATCCATCTAGCACTCATTCATACTTAGGGTTGGGCATGAGTCGGGTTTTGGGTCCAACCGACCTGAGATCAAGGAATCCTCCACCCGAGACCAGACCCGACCCGACCAAAACAAGATTTCACCCAACCCGATATATAAATTAAAAACCCAACTCAACCCGAAATAATAATAAAAATATTATTTTTATTCAATAAAAACAGTGATTTAATTAGAAAAAAAATAATATATAGATGGGTATTATTGTAATTATTTCTAAATATATAAGGTAAAATTATACTTTTTTCGGGTCGGGTCAGGTTTTTTTACCATAAACCCGACCCGACCTAAAACCGAATTTTTTTATTAAAAAATCGGGTCGGTCGAAACCCGTCGGGTTCGAGTCTCATGCACATCCCTATTCATACTGCATGGCAATAAGGCGCGTTCTACAGAACACGCTTTGCGTATCTGGCATCCCACTCCAAAAAGACGTGTTATGCAAGAAGCGCCTTATGCTTACATGGCGGTTCACCTAGAAGGCACTTTTTACATAACGTGCCTTTACTCGGTTTAAATATCCGAATTCATATTAAATATAACATTAAATATAATATAAAATATTCAAAAAATTAATTCGATTATAATATAAAAATTTAATTCGAACATAACATTAAATATCCAAAATTTAATTTAAATACAACTTTAAATATCCTAAATTAATATAAAAAATAAAAAGATAAAAATAATATAACCTAACGATACCTTTTCGTAAATACATTCCACACGACAGTGATTGTCTATTTTGAGTGGGATTTCTTCATATAGGTCGCTCTTCATCTTCATTCTCATAACCGACGTCAACTTCATCTTGTTGGATTAGAATCGATATCGAAGAAATACCTTCATGGACTAACGAATGCGAAGATGTGTGATCAACAATCTCACCACCTTATCTTTTTATTTTTAATATTTAGGATATTTTAAGTTCAATTAAATTTTAGATATTTAATGTTGTATTCGAATTAAATTTTTATGATATAATCAATTTCATTTTCGAATATTCAATATTATATTTAATGTTAAATTTAATGTAAATTTCACATATTTCAACTTAGTAACGGTATGTTCTATATAAAACATGCCTTTGTCACATTATATAAATGGGTGATAGATTAGTAAATATTGAAAAAAAGGGTGATAGATTAGGGGCCAAGTTTTATATTAAATTTTAAATTTGAAAGCAACTTTGATATTATTAAAAATAAGAAAAAATAAAAAATAAAAATAAAAAAGCCTCTAAATTTAACATTTCAAAGTTTAGATAAATTACAAAAATAACATTCAAATGTTCGTTAATTTATTTTTCTTAAAATAATTTTTAAAAACAATGGAAATTTGACTTTGGGTCGTTGTCTGTTTTTACAGCTTCTACATCTGATTCGATTTAATGTGTTATGTGTATTGTCGAAAATTGTGAATTTTGTTTGTGAATTATTGTAAATGTCAAAAGCTGATTCCAGATCCGTCTTTTTCTCTGCATTACTGGGGGATTCAGGCATTTTTGCTCGAGATGACAATGATGTAGATATACCCGCGAGTTAAAAGAAAAATCAAACCGAGGAAGTCGGTAGATAAGCTAACACCAACATGAACAAGTTGCCTTGAACAACAGCTATTTTCCCTGCTTTGACTCATAAGCAAATGAACAAGTACTCGACATGACATCAGAAGACGATATGGTTTTCAGAACCGGATCGGTCAATAAATCGACCTAATTATCGATTTATTGGTTTAATCGATTAAACTAATTAAATCAGTCGAAAGAATCGAACGACGTCATAATTAATTAATTATTTAAAAAATTAAATAAAAATATAAAAAACATTTAATAAAAAATAATTTTTATATCACAAATCATATTTAAAGCAAATTATAACATATATAAGTTAAAAATCATAAAATCAATTGAAACCAAATGATTTAAATCAACTACAACATAATATTTAAGGTAAAACATATTAAATAATAAATATAATTATATAATTATAATCAAAAAAATAAATTTGGGGCTAAAAAAATTATAACAAACGATGTCGTTTGGTTTAATTTTTTTTTTCTAAAAAAATCTCACATGGTTAAAAAACATAGAAGAGCATTACAAAAATTTAAAGAGTAAAAATATGAAAACAAAACAATCTCACATGGCTAAGAAACATAAAATAACATCCCAATTGAGTTCTATAAATAATAGAGGTAATTTGACATTCAAAATAATGGAGCCTTTTGATGCTCAAAGAGCGAATTATTCTTTCGCTTCAATCGAGTTTAAATTTTAGGCTTCAATCGAGCTTCTAATTTTTTTTGAGTTCAATCTTTTTTTAGTTCAAGTTTCAATATTATATTTCGAGTTCGAATTAAACTTGATAAACGTCGTTTGATTTAATTTTTTTAGAAAAAAATAGAACCGGTTTTCAACCGATTCATTCACGGTCCGGTCTGGTTCGAACGGTTCACAGCCGGTTCAACGGTTTCTTCCGGTTTATTAATAACGGTTTAACCTGTGTAGAATGAATCGAACCAGACAGCGATTCCCGATTAAACCGGCCGGTCCGGTTTTCAAAACACTGAAAGAAGAACTTACGGATACACTCCGAGAGACCTAGCTTGTGAAAAAACGTATTCCGATCAATCGACGGCGAATGCAGAACCTCCGGCTGATAAGATATGAGATGGTTAGGTGTAAATCAGACCTAATATTTTAGATCAAATGTATATCACGCTATATATTTAATCATTGGAAATCATTTCTGAAGCTAAGGAAAATGTAGCCGAGGGTTCAAGACGCTCCAAAAATAGAGTATTTGGGCATCCTACGATTCGGCAAATGGATTTGCGAAGGCATTAGTTCATTTGTTAGAGAGGTTTCAATTCATAGCGTTCACACCTCCCTGCTGGGACCTTCGCCACTTCAACCAAACAAGAAAGCAAAACCAATAGGAGATATACTAAAAATCAATAACCATTTTGTTTTAACAAGTATCCAATGTTCAAAAACCAAAAGTGAACGTCGGCCCGGATCGTCCAATTTCAACATCGATTTTCGAAGGCAAACTTGGATTAAAGTGCATCGTTTTGGCACTGCATCCATAGGTTTTTCGTTTCCCTACAAAGGATAATTACTGATGGAAATCAAATAAGTGCAGAGTACAAAATCATAAATCGAAAACAAAGTGGAAGAGGGAAGCGATGCTCAGTGGATACGAACCAGAAAAAAATCATCTTGCGAATTAGTTATGAAACAAATCGGGCAATCGAATTTCAATCCAGGCGTTATCTTCATAGCATAGATACCAACGTTTAAAGATTCAAAAGAGGGGGAGGGGACAGGAGAGAAAACGAAGCAAGGGATTGAAATAGACTCAACAATAGATCTCGGACGCCCAAACCCTAGACACGTGAGGCTATTTATAAAGAACGAACTGGATCTGGATATTCATTGGGCTAGCATAGAGGCCCACTACTTATATATATGCAATCCAGGCCGAATAGACATTTTAGTTCATATAAAATATAATAGAAAATTACATCACAATCACTATATTATGAGTAATTTTACAATTGAGTCACTGTGTTTCAAAGAAATACAATCCAGTCTCTTTAATTATTGAATGTAACCATCATATCACTTTATCGTCAAATATGTAATAGGCCTTCACTTTTTACTTACATGTGAGTGCTCAATTGTAAACATACTCATAACTGAATGACCAAAATATAAGCTTCCTCATAGTTGAGTGATTAAAATGTAACTAAAATGTTAATTTATGTTACACACTTTATGGAAAAATAACTTGATTATTATAACAGATAAATGTAGAGTTTTTATTGTGATTTTAAAAATTTTGGTGACCTAATTGTAAAGTTAATCATAGTACACTGGCATATGGTGTAATTTATCAAAATATACACATTATTAAAATTTATTTGACAAATAATCATGAGAAAAGTGATAAAATGTTTGCATATAAATTCACTAATCCCTTATTATTATTATTATTATTATTATTAGTTTGGGTGATTATTTAATCTGGAACTCTAAAAAAAAATATTTTATTTAACCATTAGTTTTCTCAATGAATTCTCACTAATGTTTGAATTTTAATCAATTTATTTAAAATATAATTAAAATCTGTAAAACGACTGGAATTTTGCAACATATAAATATTTGCATTGGTTGGCCAAACATATAGCACCACTGCAAGATAGAACCAACAGAAACAACTCCCTTCCTCCTCTGTGCTTATGTTCAACCAAAATCTGCTGTTCCTTTTGACAAATCTTTCCATTTACACCACCATTGTTTTCACCTGCATAACTTGGTTCAAAACTAAGGTTAGCACCAAAATATGCATGCATACTGTCATCTAAGTAAATTCAATTCATATCGCACCTTTTCCGTTTGCTCTTCGAGACGGTGGAACTCGAGGGATTGCTATTCCAGTTCCTTTTCCTCTGATTGATGAACCAATTGTTTATCTGTTTCAACTGTAAACCAGTTTCTTCAACCAATCTCGCCTTATCTTCGTCCTGAACATTTCAACCAAACTCATCAACCAACCACCATTTCATCTCATATAAGCTTCTTTCATACTGTGTTTGAACTACTTACTGTAGGGTATGGCCACTTGGAATGTGACTGCCACCATGCTTTTAAAACCGATGTTGTGTCGCCGGGCAGTTTTCCGGCCCTTCTTTTGCGCAAAATTTCCTCTCTTATGTCAACAATCTTCTCCTTGTAACCCTGTAAAGGAGTGTATAACGTTGATTCCCAGAGTAAAAACATGTACAGATATAAGTTCCATTGATTACCTGCTTGAGTTCATGTTTGAGTTCATGTCTCACGCGCTCCATCAAAGACTTTTCACTATCTGTTAAGATCAGAGGACCGAACCCCATTGAAGATGGACCCTCCAAGCTTCCATCAAACAAGTTGACATCACAGTCTACTTGGTCATCATCATCATCAGACATTGTTGCACCTGTTCCTTCGCCTGGACAAATACCTGTTCACGTGTCTCCAGCAGAGATTACATCAGAACCAGCATTCAAGAATAGGTTTGGCCATAGCTGAATCTCCGCCAATATCAAAGAAAATCAATGGAGATCACTTTACCTGTTAAGCTTTGTAAGGACTGCTCAATTTCCCAGCACGCCATAACTGCTTCCATTGCATGAACTCGAACATGTTGCTGCAATTGTTCTTTGAAAGAATATAGCAATAGAACATAATGCGTCTGCATTGCCATTAAAGAGATATCAATGTCTAAAACATGGGATTTGGCTTCAATTGAACAGTAAACATAAAAATTCAAACTTTTTCATTGCTACCAATCAACACTGCATCGAACTAATCAACATTTCTGGATAACTAAAAGTTTAGGAAACATGTTACGACTTAGGATGCTAAGGAGTATGAAATTAAAGAACACTCAAATAAAAGAAATAGCTACCAATTAGAACCAATCTCGTTTGTAGTAGTAGTAGCATACCAAGAACTGATCGAGCTCTTTGTCATCGGTAACCAAGCCATGGGCCCCATCACCGAGGGTAGAGTACTTAGCCACCACATGCTGCGACTGAGCCAGCTGAGCGTCGATCCTCGGGAGCTGATCCACGGGCGTGGCGATCCTAAGGCACGCCACATGCGCAGACAACAGTTGCTCGCACAAAGGGTGAGCTAGTATCTCCGCCTTGTACCTTGCATTGTGCCAATTCATTACCCCATCTCCACCGCTCCCTCCCCTCTCTGCTACAACACCTTCGATCTTGTTGTTTATGATATCGTTGATGTCGTTCTTGAAATCACCCGATTTCATGGCGATCATCGATTCCCCTCCGCCTCCTCTCCCTGCTTCCGCAACGGCACCAGCGTCGTACAGGACATCACTGTGGTTGCGATGGAGAAGCGGAGAGGATGTACGGGAGAGCCACTGGTCAGGAGCCTGGGAAGCCATGGTGGGGTCAGAAGCAAGAGCTGAAGTAGTAGTATGAAGGTTAAGAAAGTTAGTGTCGGAGGAAAACTGAGGGTGCGGCTGAGGCTGCTGAGAACGGAGGAGAGTGGTGTTTAACCAATTGGGACCGTTCGTTTCCGGCAGTTGACTCGCCTGCTGTTGGTCGGAAAAGTGATGGAGAGGAGGGTCTTGGTGATCAGAAAGGTGATTATGATGAAACGCCATGTATATATACACCCTTTTGCTTCTATCTTTTTCTCTAAGCTTATTCTAAAGATAGACAAGATGATTATTGTTTCCTGGTAGGAAAAAGAAGCAAGGAGACTATTGAAAAGATTGAATTTTAACAAATATAAAGCTGCGAATATACAGTTCTTTGTATGTGTATAGAGAGAAAGAACGTAAGACAACTAACAAAGGTGAGACCTTTGAGGATATATGCTGTAATAATAAAGAGAGAGGGAAGAATAAAGGAGGTGAAAGTGGATTTCAGGTGAAGGTTTCTGCTTACAATGAAAATGTTGAAGGTTTAATGGTTATAGAGAGAGGGGGAGGGGGCCATTTTCATTTCCATTATTTTCAGTTTTTATTATTAAATACGATGGCGAATTTTTTAGAATTATATATTACTTAATTAAGCAGTAATTAACCAGCTTCTTCTTTTTCAAACAATCCATTACCTGCTTTTCCATTTTAAAAATAAATATTTTAGCTCTTGTGTGTAAAGTCAATTGATTACATGATTGAAAACTATTCCAAATTGGGATGTTTATAATTTTTTTACGTGTCTTAGTGACTAATTAGTATGCCATTATCATATTAAATACAATAAATTATAAAAAAGAAAATGCAATACGTAAATAAAAATATATAATAAATTTTAAAATAAATACACATAGGAAAACGTCATTATCAAAATAAAATTTTTAAAATGTACTAACAGTAATGGTATACCATTAATAAGAAGCTCCAACTGTTTTTGTTGCCCTAGCCGGAATAGGGTTGAAAACTATTCAAATAGTATTTGCTTGTTTAATATATGGAAATCAATCTTGATTTCTCTTTTGAATGTTTTTTAAAGGAATAATGTCCAACGTAATGATAAAGCACAGTTTGATAAACAAAAAATAATGATAAAACTATATTATATCTAGGGTGAAGTATGTTAGAGGCCATTTAACTATATTCAAATGATTCCTTTGATCATTAAATTGTTAAAAAATTGTGTCTTTTATATTAAATTGTTATTAATTGATCACTAAATTTTATTGAACTATTACATAATTATCACTAGATGTATCAAGTTTTGCACACATTATAACATCATAACGATCAATCTGTAATAATTTGATAAATTCAGTGACTAATATTTTATATCTTTTAAAAGTTCAATGATCACAATGGTAATTTGAAAATAATTAATTGACCTCTATTGTACACTCTTATATTTTAAAAAAATAGTATTAAAAAGTTAATTACAAATCTTAAAAGATTATTCTTCACAAATATACATAATTATACATACACATGCATACTATTTTCAGAAAACCAAATAAAGAATTAATGAAAAGATGTGATCAAAAGTAGAGTGTCATTTTTAAGGGGGACTGAAAGTGAAAAACAAAAGTTGCGTAGCGTAGCATGCATGTGAAAGTGCATACAACAGCAAAGTATATATATATATATATCATCGTATCTACAAAAAACAGTAGCCTAGCTTTCGTTGTAAAAAAAAAGAGTAATTGTGCAGTTACGTACCACGTAGTAGCGTGCTTTCCACGTCACTCAGTGTCGCATGACTTGTCATTCATAATGCAGTTTCAGTTTTGTTAGGTTTCATCGGACTGACGTCGTTGGTAAGGAAAAGAAAAGGGAAAGAGAGCACCGGCGCGGGGGACCATGTACGACGTCGTTTCTCTTCCCGGGAGTGGCACTCGTGGCCCGTGGGAGAGGAACGGTAGTTGAACCACAAGAGTGGTCCCGCACTCGCCAATGGAGAAAGAGAATCGAGGACGTACACGTGGAGTGATAGGGGACCATTGGAATTCTCAACGACGTAAATAAATCATTAAAAACTACAGATTACAGACTTGTTTCTTCCGGTGACAGACGCCGGCTGGATCAATCGAACCGTCAATGATCCAATGGAAGAGTGGGGGCCACCGAAATTGAATAAAAAATTATTTATTTAGAAAAATAAGAAAGAGGAAAGAGGAGGGAGTCGAGGAAAAAGGTGGGTTGATGGCAAAAACAGAGCAGCTATATGATATCAAAGAGGTTGGTCCCCTACCTACTTACTTTTGTATGTTTTCAATTAACATATCCCAATAAATGGTCTAATTCAATAAAAGTCCTTCAACTATGCAATTTTCATCACATGGTTTAAAAAATTACGCCAAATTATCGACAATTTGACAATTTTTATACTTTAATTTTTTTTCCTTTTTAAATTGCTGAAATTTTAACCAGTCATAAAAAGACTGTTGGTGTGAAATAGTGCATCACGATACTTTTTTAAAAAACAAACTTCAATATTATTTAACGGCATTAAAAAGTATAACTATTGAAAATGATGTAGAAAAAAATAACTTATTTAAGGAGTTTCTTTAATATTAATGAAAAATATTTGTTAATGTACCGACGACTTAGTTTGCTTTTATAGGTGGGTGATGACCTGTCGTCAGCCGGCAGAGGCACAGAAAGGTTAAAAGGAAGACGATGGCAAACGCACTTCAGTGGGAATTTAAATATTATTGCAATTCAATTTTTAATAAATAAAATAATTTGAAAGCATTGTATTGAATTGTAACCCACGCGATTTAAATATGATAACCCAACTTGCATTAGTTCCATCAAGATATATGAATAGTACAGTGATTGGTTACTTAGCAAACACGTGTCGAGCATCAAGCTCACAGAACATAATCTTGTGCTACTCTGTCTTTCCAACCGTCGGTGCAACTCTCGCGACCCTTTGCATCTAAACTTGTGAATTGATCGGATCCGTTCATATTGAATATAGGATACGAGTGTTAAATTTAAGATTTAAGTCAATTCAAATTCTAATCGATGAGTTTGAATCATTAGAATGTTAAATTAAAACTTTAATTTTAAATTAATCGATTTATTTTCCATTCCAAATCAAAATCAAATAAGTTCTTTGTAAAGTACACGAATAATCCATTAATTATAGAGTGTTGTTTTATTAAGTCTCTAGATTATTAAAAGTTACAAAATATTCATCTGACTATTCATATGTTTTAAATTCATCATTTTTGGTTAAAAAATGGTGATAATTTGAGTTGGACATTAACATACTAATTGAGATATGATAACATCTAGTCACACAATCATTTGAGTTGTATTTTGTAGACTGAATCTTCGTTATATTATGTTGTCGAGCCAGTACTTGAAATATTATATTATTGAACCAATGCTTTACAACAATGATAGTACTAGTAGACATCTTTAAAATATGATTTTATTGTATTCCAATCAACAAGTTAACGTCTAGTTCGAATGATTATCAATTTTTTAACGAAATATGACGAGTTTGAATCATATGAATAATCGAGTGATCATTTTATAACTTTTAACAGTAAAATACTCAACAAGATAATTCTTTATAGTCAGAAATTCGTTTTATAAATTTTAATAGTCGAGATAATTAATAAACCAACACCTCATAATCAAAACCATTTTTATAGTTTACTTATAAGTTTAAGGGTAAAATATAGTAATGGCCACAAAGCTTTTCTAAAGCTTTCATTTGGGTCCCCCAACTTTTAAAACTTGCAATACAGTCCTCCAACATTTAGTCCGCTTGCAATATGGTCCTCAACATAATTGGTTGTTTGCCGTAATTACACTGTCGTTAGAACATTTGCAATATGGTCGCTAAACTTTTCAGGTGCTTGCATTTAGGTCCCCTAACTTTTAAAACTTGCAACACAATCCTCAATTTCCAAAACATGTAAAAAAATCCAATTCGTTCACAATATATCAGTCCCATAATCAACATGAACTTATTAAAAAAGAATACGAGCTCATAGGACGCCGAAAACCACAGGCCGGATCAATACAATTCCTAGTAAACTAGTACCAACAGTCTATCGGATTAAGCCTGGCGATTTCACTATATCGATATGTTGAATTATGTTTCGATATAACAAATTTAAAGGCAAAACGTTTTTGGACTTGAATTGAATTCATTCAAAGTTTTAAAAAAGTTTCAAAAATAATTCAAAGTCCATTAAATTTGGATTTGAGCAAAAATGCTAAAGGGTGTCAAAGTGCATTCATGCACCCCTGCAGTGCATCCATGCACCTACCACTAGTGCATCAATGCACCATGAAGTGTATCCATGCACTCAAACACCGAATGCAATTAATGCATCGATGCACCCTGTTGTGCATCCATGCACCAAGGCTGCAACGACTAGTAACGGCTAGTTTATTTGAATTTAATGAAGGTGTATCGATGCACCTTGATAGTGCACCGATGCACCATGTTATGGGCAGCCTTTTTTAGTAGAAAAATCATCCCCAAACGGCTCCAAAACATCCCCAACAGCTATATACAACATCAAACACATTCCAAGCTATAAATACAAGCTAAGGACACTTGAAGAAGTAAGAGAACAATTATCCAAGCAATCAAACACAAGAGAAGAACTTTTTATTCTTAATTTCCTCTCTCTTGTAAATATTTGTTCTTGTGAGCTTAATTTTTGTAAATACCTACCTTTGAGAGGTTTGTTTGTTTACTTCTTTTATCCTTTTGTAAAGGGAAAGGTTCTAGCTAAGCCCATGTAAAAGCTAGGGAAAGGTTCTAGTTTATCCCGTGAAAAACTAGGGAGTTGTAAATGTTATCTCTTTGTCCTTGAAAAAGAAAGAACAAATTAGTGAATTTGTTGGAAAATCCTTGGTGAGGAGCTAAGGTAGTGGATGTAGACTTGGTTGAGCAGTCGAACCATTATAAATCGTTGTGCAATTATCTATATTTCAATCTCCTTACTCCCTAAACACAAAAACCGTTCTGACCCCTCTTTACAAAACGTTTCGGTTATCGATTCAAGCTTCCGAAAATCTCAACAATTGGCATCAGAGCCTAACTCGCTAGAAGGCTTAACATCCTTGATACGATCATCGAATAAGCTCTACCAATTCCCGACGCAACCGACAAAGAAATGACTTTTTCCTCCGGTGCTTATTACCTTGAAGAT